ACCTGCGGCTTCGGCGCATCTGCGGCATGGAACGCTTCCGCAAAGGCGTCGTCGCTTTGCAGCTCTTGCGGAAGGACCTACGCGGGCTCCCTAAACCCTAAACCCTAAACCCTAAACCCTAGACCCTAAACCCTAAACCCTAAACCCTAAACCCTAAACCCTAAACCCTAAACCCTAAATAAACCCTAAACCCTAAGCCCTAAGCCCTAAACCCTAAACCCTATAAACCCTAAACCCTAAACCCTCGCCCCCAACACAAGGCGCCGGGAAGGTTCGCTGAATTGTCGACATGTCCTTGTGTTTTGCCCAATGTCATGCTTCAACCCTAAACCTAACCTAAACATCACTAATACCTAAACCCTAAAGAATAGACCCTAATACCTAAACCCTAAACCCTAAACCCTAACAACTAAACCCTAAACTTGAACCCTAAGCCGCCGAAGCCCTTGCTTTGACCCCGGACCTTCTCGATGTAGTTGAGAAAACCCTTCTCGCCAATGTCCGCCAATTCGTGGAGCAGGGCTGTCACCTGGTTCAGGCTAAACCCTGAACCTCATCCCTAAGCCCTAAACACTCTTAGGGAGTGGCGTTCAGGGGTTGGGAAGAAGACCCCTTACGGGAAAGGCCGGAGGCCCAAGGCCCAAGGCCCAAGACCCAAGGCCCTTTATGGGGAAGGCCCCTGACGGGAAGGCCAACCCTAAACCCTAGAGTCCTAATCCCTAAGCCTTTCTGGGGGATTGGGGTTCAGGGGTTGGGGTGTAGGGCGACTCCCTGGGCCCTCAGCCCTGAGCCCTCAAAATGACCAAGAGACACCCCAATGTAGAGCACCACCGAAGCCTTAAACCCTAAAACCCTTGACCCCGAAATCCTAAAACCCTAAAACCCCTAAACCCGAACCCCTTAGCCCCCTAGAACCCTAAACCTCTAAACCCTAACCGCCGTAACCCCTAAAACACTAAAACCTCAACCCCTAAAACAATAAACCCCCTGACCCCTAAACCCTTAACCCCAACCCGCAATCCCCGAAAACCCTAAACCCTAACCGCCCTAACCCCTAAAACCCTACCCGACACCCCCTAAACCCTAAACCCTAAACCCGAAAACCACCCTTAGTCCCGCCCAACACCCGAGCCCCAAACCCTCAACCCCTCTAAACCCGCAATCCACCCCCTTAACCCCCCTAAACTCTAAACCTTAAACCCCCAAACCCCCTGAAAACCCCCCAAACCCCCCCCCAAACCCCCCCCCAAAACCCCCCAAACCCCCCTACACCCCCCCCCCCTCCCCAAAGGGTGCACAGGGCTTGGGTCTGAAAGCAGGGCCTCGCTCCGAGTCTCGCCCTTCCCCACGGGGAGCGGAAGCTGCATGAGCACCAGTGGCCAAACCTCCACTGGGCTCGGGTTCTGGGGTTTGGGGGTTCTGGGGTTTGGGGTTTAGGGTTTGGGGTTTAGGGTTTGGGGTTCAGGGCGCAGCAACCCTCAATGCTAGCCCGCCCAAGGACGCCAAACCGCCCCAAGTTCTGGAGCCCTGGAGATTCTCATGGACTTCTCTTTAGGGCGGATTTGTTTGGGGGGGGGGGGGGTGGGCGGCTTTCAGGGCTTCTGGCGGTCAGTTTAGAGGCTTCTTCATGGGTGGGGGGTTTAGGGTTTAGGGTTCTAAGGGTTTAAGGCATTCAGGTTTCAGGTGCTGAACTGTCGGGAGGCATACTCCACGTGGTCGATGATCTCGGGCTCGCCTGAGACCTCGCGGTGGCCCCCAGACGTCTCCAACTCCCACCCTAAACCCTAAACCCCGAAGCACACCCCCGAACCCCTCAACCCCTGAACCCCCAAACCCCCAAACCCCTAAAACTCCTAAACTCCTCAACTCTCAAACTAGCCCTAAACCCATACCAGGCCCTTCCGGAAAGCCGGACTTTGCAGATTTCTCTCCCTTCGGGCAGGGCTTCGGGCGCTTCGAAGAAGAAGGACTTGCACAAACCATAGGGTTCAGGGCTCATGGCTTTAAATTATGCTTCAATGGGCTTTGCCGCAACCCCAAAAGGCAGCAGCCCCTGATACCCCAGAAAGCGTGGCCGGGAGATCCGTACCCAGTCAAGCCCCGGCAACCCGCATCAAGAAACAGAGCTGATCACCAGGAAGCTAGGCTCCCATCTCTTGAAACCTTCGAAAACACACACCCTGTTCTTGCTAGGATACTGAAAACCTAGACGAAACCTAGACGAGACCTCACTAGGCATCCCCGCACCGGGGAGGCTCAAGGCCGCGAGCAGCACCAGCACCACGCTCGGGCGCATTGGGCGCCTGGCGCTGTGTGGGCCCCTCTCCCTGCACAACGCGTTCTCTACTTGAGGGTCGCTTCCTTGGTGCTCGATACAACATTGCCCCTTTTTTTGAGTCTCTTCGGGTGGCCAGAAAGTCCTCTACTGTGAGGTGCTCGCAGGTTCACCGCGTGCTGGCGACAGGCGCTTAACCAAACCAAACTAACCCTAAACCCTAAACCCTAAACCCTAAGCCCTAAGCCCGAAACCCTAAACCCTAAACCCTAAACCCTAAACACTAAACCCAAATCCTCACCCGGCCTGGTCTGTGGTGGCAGCCCGTAGGGGCATACTGGCATGGTCTCTGGCTGAACTGGAGGCTTCAGGGGCTTAGGATTTGGGATGTTCGGGGGGGTAGGGGTTCAGGTGGCTAAGGGTCGAACCACAAAGGGGCTTGAAAAGCCCCAACGACCTCTCAGGGTTGAGGGGCTCAAGGGCTTAGGGCTGGGTGTAGGCAAGTTGCGCCAGCCTGCGCTTTAGACCGGTGCAGGGGGCTTGTAGGGTTTGAGGCTTCAGGGCTTATGATGTCTGACATAAACTCTAGACCTACAAAATCGACTTGACTTGAGTGCTAACAGGGCAGGGCATCCTGAAGCCAGCGGCTAGCGGGAGGCATTGCGGTCAGAGAGCAAGGCTTTCAGACCACTTTAGGGCGGATGCAGGGCTTCGCTTACTGCTAGGCTGTCAGGTATTTCAGAGGCGCGCCAAAGTGCGCAAATCGCTCGAAGCCCAAGCTCGCTGCAGAATCCATCGCTGCCTGGCCCAGCGTGCCCCTTATCAACCGGAAATGTAAATCCTTAACAACCTGGCCCTCCAACACTCTCGCCTCAAACCCCCAGCAGCCCTCACACCCAGATTTGGGCTTGTGGGAGACACTTCGCAGGTCGCTTCGGAGGAGCAGGGGTGTGGAGGTTGAGGCTTCAGTGCTGAAGGGAGCTCAGGGGTCTTCTTGTTCGCATACAATGCTTCATGCCACTGCTCATGAATGAACGCTTGGTTGGCCACGAGGCCTCGAAGAAACGCTTGCCCCCAGGAAACTTAGCACCTACACCCCCCTGCGGAGCAGTTTGGTCGCAGCAACCCAAGGGGGCGGGCATCTGTGTGTCCGACTCGTTTGGGGAGGTTCTTTTTTGAGGACTCTTGTGATCTAGGGAAATATTCAGCGGACCACGGGACTTGTTGCTTTGCCGTTCGCAATCCGTCCGCACAATGACAAGCTGGCGCCTCCACATTCCCAGAAGACGAGCACCTTAGAAGCTGGCGCTGGAGACAGATGGGTTTTGGCTGTCTCAGGAACTGAATTGGGGCTAGGGCCTAGAATGATCTTAGAGTGGAAATGAAAGCTTTTTGTCACCATAGCTTTTTCGACTCGTGATTTCCGGTTGTTGGCTCTGGCTCTTAGAGCACGACAGGCAAACAGTTTTCGCATTACCTCTCGCAAGATCTGTCCTCCACACACACTGACAGACTCTTCAACTCCAAGGTGCAGGGCTTTTAGAGGGGTCCCTAAACCCTAAACTCGACATCCTAAAGTTTGCGGCCGCCAGGTCTGCAGGAAGGTCGTGTTGAGACCCGAGGGCACCACGCCGCAGCTCCAATGGATCCGAAACTTGGCGCAAAAGACCTAGTCACCTAGTTGCGACTTCAAAACTCGGAAGTCCCTGAGGAACCCCATAAGGCGGACACTCGGTTTAAGTGCAATTTGGGGGGGGTCTAGGGTCTATTCTTCTTTGGGCTGACGGCGGGGAGGGGGGACCTGAGGCTTCGCTTCTTTCTCGCCCCCAGATTGCCGAGGGTCCCGCCGGTCCGCGCCGCGTCCCAGAGGGTGCATCACCTGCGAGCCCCATGGTTGCAACCGGAGGATACATACAGGAGGGCTTAGGGTTTAGGAACCCTAAACCCTAAACCCTAAACCCTAAACCCTAAACCCTAAACCCTAAACCCTGTTTCGGGTTTAGGGTTCAGGGCATGAGGGTGTAGGGTTCGGGGCCGAGCCTTGGCTCCTCCACGACATCAAGGATCGGATGCTGCCTACACCCCTCTCAAACAAGTCGGAGGCGCACTGATCAGCTCGGCATCGTACTCTTCGGTGCCGGGAAATTGGCTGCTGGACTGTGGTCTTCTTTCCCGTGTTGGTTGGGTTTAGGGGTTTTGGGTGTCGGTGAAAGTGGTGTGGTGGTGTAGGAGGTGGGGTGAAGCAGCGGTCACAACGGGAGCAATGATAGTAGGCGCAAGTCGTCTTCGTGCTTGTACTCTGGAGGACTGGAAGTCGCAGCAGCAGCTGCTAGTGTCACGGCAGCTGCAGCTGCTGGTGCTGCTGCTGTATGAACAGTAGGGCCACGAGATCCTCGTATTTCTTTTGCAGCGTCATTGCACTTCTCGTGCATTGCAGGAATCAGCTGGGCCTAAATACAGAATGAGGCTTGCGGGCATGGAGCAATGAACCACGAGGATCATGCTGTGTTGCCGTGTCAATGGCTGCGGGGCCGGCAGCCATTCGCATGGAACCTCGAAGCGTTTTTGGACTATTGGAACACGCTCGGCTGTGTAAGGTTTAGGGACCTTCCAGGGACCTTCTATGAAGACTTTGCTGTGTCGTCCACAGCCGTTTCCGGCATCTCAACACCTCGACATCTGAGCCACACACCGCAGCCTTACGACCCTGTTAGCCCCCAATACCTCACATGCTGAATTCAGGGAGTTGTGCAGGCATCTGGTAGTGGACCTCATTGGGGGACAGCTCTCCAAGTCTCCAGATGACCAGGAAGTTGTCACCTGCAGCCATTTGGCAGAATCTGGGTCAAGACTCAAACAGAACCTCAAGCCCCATAAACCGTTGATGATCCTGAAAAAAGCACCACTTAACCCACTGCATTTGCAACCCTGAAGCTTGCCCCTGTCCCTCCCCTCCGGACCGTCGTTCTTGTTGACAGCGCCCCAGCACTCGTCAACCACACCGTGGACAATCTCCGCAATCTGGTTCACGAAGGTCATGACCTGGCGTGACTGTGCCGTGCTAAGGCTGCTAGGGCGTGTACTTGCAAGTGACACGTTGTGGCTGCCGAAGCAGCAGCGAGCACAGACACGCGCAGCCGGCCTTTCCCTGGAGAACTTCCGTGGCCGTGCTGAAGTTGAGAATCCGCACGACTCCGACCTTGAAGCCCAGAGTTCTTGAGGTTGTGTCAGGCTTTGCGCAAATATACACTAAACAATCGCCTGCTGCGTCGGCAACTGTTGTAGCGTTCTGAGCTGTTGTCCGAAGCAGCTTGGGCATTGCTATGCGTTGCTGCAAAATCCTGCATCCGCCTGCCTGCAGAAATGACATGCAAGCCTGTGTCAAGGCAACCGGGCTCCGGGCTATGCAGTTCACCATGGAACCTGGCCAGGATGGTGGCGACAAGGCACCCAGGCTAGCAGTGTGAGGGTTGTGCTGTACTCTGGCACTGACTCCAGTCTCCTGTCTGCTGCATCTTACTACCCAGTGCAGGCCATCCTCGTGCTGACTCGAAGAGTGCCAGAGGGCCTTCGACCATGGCATTCACCCCGGAGTTGGCACCGTCCATGTTGGAGCTGACGATGTTCGCACCGGCCTGTCAGCAGGCTGAGCCGTGGGCATAGTCAAGGTGGTCTGCCCAAGAGCCCAACCTAGCCAACACTCGGAGGCTCGGCATCTGAAAACTAAGAAGAAGGAGAGCGAGCATGTTCAAGTTTGACAGTTTGGGGTTGAGGGTTTTGCAGTTGAGGTTTGATCCTGAAAGCCTGAAAAGCTCGAGGCCTCAAGCCCGAGAACCCTTGAACCCTCAAACCTGAAACCCTAAACCCTAAGCCGAAAACCCTCCAACCCTGCACCCTAAACCCTACACCCTCTAAAAACCACAAAACCCTACACCCTAAACCCTAATACCCTAAACCCCAAAACCTTCAAAACCCTAAACCGTAAACCCTAAACAACAAAACCCTCAAAACCCTCAAATCCCAAAACCCCAAAACCCTCAAAACCCGACACCCCAAATCATTTCAGGGTTGCAGGGAAGGCGGCGGCCTCACCAAACCCCAGCGCGAGGAGGGAGCCCAGCCTCGGTGCTCGGGGTTCGATGGGTTCGGCATGTCAGGGTTTGGGGATTGAGGGTTTAGGGTTTAGGGTTTAGGGTTTTGGGTTTTGGGTTTAGGGTTTAGGGTTTAGGGTTTAGGGTTTAGGGCGTGGGATTTAGGGTTCAGGGTTTAGGATTTAGGGTCCAGGGTCTAAGGGTCTATAGGGGTTTCGGGGAGATTGGCTTATGGAGCGGCACATTTCTGGGGTTGCAAGGTTGGGGATCTAAACCTCAACGGACCGGAGCGTCTGGAAGACCAGATCTGTCCAGGCTGATGCTAGCCAGACAGCCCAACCCACAAAGCCCAATATCCCTTGATTAGGGAATATTACTTAATTTATATAGGGGGCCTTAATTGAGGGGTCTTGGCTTTGGGAACTGGTTGAGAGCTTAGGATCTGGGCCCTTGTCTTCTCACGCAGAGAAGCTGCCACCAGCAGAAGCTGCAACAAGAACCCCCGAGGCTTGCTTGCTTCGTAGAGAACTCCCCCGGCGGGTTGTGTAAGGCGGCATGAGGTTCCTCATTCCTACTCCATAAACTCGCAAGTCAGCCCGGAAATCCCTAAACCCTAAACCCTAAACCCTAAACCCTAAACCCTAAACCCCACGGCTTGCCCCTAAACCTGAGCCGGGCAGCTTGATGATCGTCTTCTCGAGGATGACGGTCTCCATCGGCTCTTGGGCTTCCGTCCTGGCGCTAGAGGGTGCCAATTTCGGGGGGTTTTTTTGAGGGTTTGGGGTTTAGAGCTTGGTGCTTAAGGTTTAGGGTGTCGGGGGTTTGAGGGTTTTGGGGTTTAGGGTTCAGGGCTTAGTTTGGGAAATCATTGAAGGGGGCAGACCAGACCATTTTGGCTTTTGGGGGTTTAGCGCTTAGGGCTCGGGTTTAGGGCTCGGGCTTCGGGGACGAAGATGGGCTAGCATGGACGCCGGCCATGCGTAAATTGCACAACAAGAGCATCGAAGGCTCTAGTCAGGTAAAGGTTCCTTTCCACCATTGATAAAGCTTGCGAATGCGTGTTCGAAACTTGGGGATGTTTGCCAAGGCCAACAAAAACGGGCACTCAGATTTCTGGCCGGAGGATTTACGGATTCACACAATTTAAATTTCAGGCGGAGCGGGTCTGGGATCGGCTTGCTCACTCGTTGAACCCAAGCACCAAGTTAGCACCATCCTTCCCGTCCGTTTGCTGCACGTGCCCATCTTTTTGTCAGCTTCTCCGTGCAAATCACGAGCATGCTGCCTAGCTACCGGAACCGATTGCTGCGGGCCCCTTCCACCCAAACCGTTCCCTGGTTGCAGGTATTACAGCAGATTGCCCCGGAGCACTCTTGCAAGTTGCCGCATATGGGGGTTTACGAAACAAGGGTCCTCGAGTATAGACCCCCCTATTCCGATCCCTTCTCATAAGGAGCCCAATAAGGTACCCCTAGTGCCGGAAACCCCTAAACCCTAAACCCTAAACCCTAAATCCCCATACGTCAAGATGGGCTCACTTGAAGGGCCGCAGGGCTTCCACGCCTTCCGGAGGCCACAGAAAAGCAGGACACGGTTTGGTTTAGGGATTAAGGTTTAGGGTTTAGGGTCTAGGGTCTAGGGTCTAGGGTTTTCGGGTTTACGGTTTAGGGTTTACGGTTTAGGGTTTAGGGTTTAGGGTTTAGCGTCTCGGGCTGTGCAGGGCAAGCCGCACGAGACAAGCGTGTGGTAGTCACACTTCCCACCAGCGATCGCCTCCGCCAGCAAGACCCTCTCTCTGGTCACGAGACTCTGAACTTGGTCACACATGGCCTTCTCGTCGTTCGTCCGCTCGTTGCTGCGGGACATCTTGAAGCACAGCCAACCTCAACAAGAGAATGCACGCTGGACCATCGAGAAGACAAGCTTATTAATGTAGAGCCTACCGAGCCTCTCGACACCCCAAAACAGATACCAGAGCAGCGGTGCGGCCGCCGTGCTCATGATCCACCCAGTGCTTCCAGCAGTACTGCCAAAGGCAGACGTACTTCTCGATGTACTTCGGGTCCTTTGTGGCCTTGAAGGTTTGCACTCCACGCAACGAACTGCCGAAACCAACACAAATCTTGCCTCAAACTGGCCAGGGCACTTCGTAAAGCAAGGAAGCCGTGGCGATGGACTCACCCTGCACCTTGGTTTGCTGCGGTTTCGGGTACGCTCCCTGTCGCTCCCTGTCACTCCTTGGCACTATGTGCACGATTCGAAGTGGAGCCCGAGCTGTGCACCCAGAAGTACTTCTCGCTATCACACCATTTCCTGGGAGGGACTAACAAGGATCACAAGTACCTGAGGACCTAGACAGGTTCTCCAGCCTGTTGCCAGCCGTGAACCGACTCAGAAGGGCTGAGAGCACGCAGTCCTGTCCGGGCCAAAGCCATACACGAGGCCACCGTGGCACTCGTCCCATGACAGCTCCCAGGCCCCGTCGAAGAGCTCCTGGCTTTGGTATGTTTAAGTGGGTAGCCCCGTTTCAGAACTGCCACACAAAGCCAGCACTATGAAAAGCCCAACTGTCCACTCCCTAGACATACGGCATCCATTAAGAGTGCTGATTCGAAGCCCAGCCTTCGCACGGTTGACCATCCAGAACTTGGGTCTGTGGCGGTAGATATTCAGAAGGTTCTTTGCCCACTCAATCCTTGCAGGATGCAGCTATCTCTCATTTCTCCCGCATACACTCCTACAGTGCTGCCTTTTAAGCAACAGCTGTTGTCATGCGCCGCACCCTAAACCAGCCAACTCAGACCGCAAAACTTGGATTCACCCAAAACCTCTCACAGGCGCTGATGCCCAGGCTGGAAGCCCCAAGGTCTGTAGATATTGGTCGGGTCGTTCTTGTTGTACTCCTGGGTGCTCGGGGCATCACTCGCAAAAAGCGCAAGATGCTGAGGGATCCAAGAAGCCCAGTCGATCTCAAAATTCACATCGTAGTGCTCCCAGACAAAGCCTCCGCCTCTGATACGAATGCAATCCAGAGCAACCCGCAAGCAACCCGCACCTCTCCCCGCAGGATCGACAAGGCCCTGAGAGGGCACCCAGTGCACGACGATTGGCAGCCCCCCGCCTTTCGCAGCGAGCTTCCTCGGAACCCGTGAGCTTCGGAGTTTCGCAGCACTCGGCACTCCCCCCCCCCCCCCCCCCCCCCCCCAAAAAAAAGCTCAACCCTTGCTTTCCTGAATCCCTGAAACCTGTCTGAAACCAATCTGAAACCAAAAGCCCTTCAAACCCCAAACTTCCTCAACCTTGGATGCCTCGGCTCCTACTCGACTCGATTCGATGGCTCCCGTTTTGGCTCTCCTTTTGTCCGAGATGCGCCGCGAAGGTCTCGGCAAGCACTTCGGCGCGGTCAAGATAGCCTTGGGGCTGAAGGGCTTCCCGGGCTTAGGGGGTTCTAAGGTGGAGGGGCTTCAAAGGCTTAGGAGTTCCCGGGCTTAGGGGTTGCAAGGTGAAGGGCTTCGAGGCTTGAGGCTTAGGAGGACTTAAAAGCTTAAGGCTTTGAGTGTCTCCTGGGGCTTCGGGGGGACGTCACATGGGCGAGGCGCGCGTCTCCTTCGTTGCTTCGTAGGCAGCAATGAGCGCCTGGCAGGTCGGTCAGAGGCCACCTAGCTTGGAAGGGTGGAACGAGGATGACTAAGAGAACTTTTTCATAAGTTATAAGTTGAACATGCAGTGCAACAACAATGAATGTTTATGTAAAGCAGCATACGTTTCTTGAGCGTATTGCACTTGCCGCCGGTCATTTTTTTAATTGCGTTTTGGACACAACTGGCGTCTTGCGAAATTTAACAGATTTCATCTATTGGAATGAAGTAAGCTCAGCAACAATACTCTTAATCAGATACCAAGATTTCGGTGGACATTAGAAGGAGCCGACTAGTAGTTCAGCAAATCAGAGTATTTGGTTCTTCTTGGCTTTTCCAATGCTTCTGCAAACCAGCCTTCAACCAAACATGGTACAGACCAGTATTTGTGTAGAGCTCTGCTTGCAAACGTGCCGAAACACCCTAAACCCTAAACCCTGAATGGCAAACACGGTCTTTCTGAGGACAGCACCTGAAGCATTCAGAAATATAGGTCAGGTGGGGGCGGGGGCGGGGGCGGGAGTGCCATGTTTATCTGTGTATTTACCTATTTGTTTATTTACATGCGTAGATATATATATATATACACATATACGACTAGTATCATGGGCTCCGAATTACAAGCCCCTGATTGTGATGGTTATTTGGCACAACCATTAGCTGCTTTTTTTTTTAGTCCTTTCTAATAGTCCGGGCCGTTCAAGGTTAAAGTTTGAACTTGAGGGAATGAAAATCGGACTAGTAATGTGGCCCGTGGCACACCTCGCGACAGGGACGGGTAGATCTTGGGGGGGGGGGGGGGGCGAGCATATGCGCATATATATATATATGTATATATATATATATATATATATAATATATATATATATAATTATATTGTGTATACTTAGACTTAGGATTTCCCCCCTAAAAAAAGACACGTGTCAAGGCGCCTCACACATGTGCATGTTGGAGTTCTGGCCCCGGTAGCTATTGTCGACGACGCCTCCCCGAGTCTCCCGTTCGAAACTCCCAAAAGGATCCCAGAAGCAGGCTTGCGCAGACACAAAACGCAGCATCTCGTGTGAGGTGGCGGGGGGCGAGCCGAGATCTCCACCCGCGCCTTCTGCGCTGATGGTGTCGAGGTACGCGCCCCTCAGCATGAGGGCCGGCCATGAACCCCACGCAACCCTACGCCTGGGCTGCACCTGGGCCTATCTGGAGTGTCACCGTACACCCTGGCAAGGCACTTGTCAGGCAGCCAAAATTTGCGCTCCAGCAGGTCGAACACTCGACCCACATCCGCATTGTCCTTGGCCACCTGGAATCGGCGTACGCTGCGCCGGGCTGTGCCGCAGCTCGCAGAATACATGTTTTTCAACCAGGGAGCCCCTGCTGCACGAGCTGCAGCATGAGCCGCCAAGATGAAAGCGTAACCATAAGCCTGCTCCACCATGTCCTGCAAGTTGGCACCAACTCACTGCACACACGTTCAAAGGCTGTTTTGTTCCCTTCCCTACTTTCAAATCCTCAGGCTTGTGGTTCCGCACCGTGAAGGCGTAGCTCTGCTTTGCTGGGATGTAGTGCACCTTCTCTATGTACCTTTGCAACAGTTTTGCAGCCATTTACTTCGCCACACGATGCTCCACAAACAGATAAGGCCTGCTCGGCAGAAGCGCAGCAAGCCACTCAAAACCACACGGACGTGTGCCACGCTTATCTGCCACATGATGCATGAAGCCTGTCAGCTCCAACAACACCATCAGCACCAGCTCGGCCTCGACGCCCTCGGGCTCGTTCTCAGCTCCCCCTCGCCCTTGCCCTCCCCCTCCTCCGCCCCCTCGCCCTCGCCCTTGCCCCTCGCCCTCGCCCTCGCCCTCGCCCCCGCCCCTGCCCTCGCCCTCGCCGTCCCATCATCATCATCATCATCATATTATTATTATTCTTATTATTATTATTATTATTATTATTATTATCATTATTATTACTATTATCATGACTATTATTACTATTCTATTTTTATTCGTATTAGTATTATTATGATTATTTACCATTATTTCATGTTTATTATTATTTTCTTCTTATTCATCTTCATCTTCGTCTTCATCTGCATCTTCATCATCATCATCATCATCGTCGTCATCATCATCATCATCGTCATCATCGTCATCATCATCATCATCATCATCATCATCATCATCCTCATCATCATGAATCATGATCATCGTCACCGGATGGCTGCCACCACTCCTACACGAAACTGTTTTGCAGCCAGTCTGCTCCAGCCCGTGGCGCCCGATCTCCACCAGCTTCGGATCTTGCAGCAGCTTGCCGGCAAGCATGAAGTTGATGACCTGGGCGTTCCACTGGCGGCTCAGCTCTCACACATAGGCTCCTGAATCCATCGGTGAGCGCAGAGTCACCGGAGCCCTACTACACCCTCGAGGCACCCACCATCCGCGAGCTCGACACGATCTGCCGGAACTCTGGGTTAAACTTCCTCCGGTCGCACATGGGTTGGCGTTTTTGGTGGCAGGTCATTTGGAGAACTGGGTGCAACTGTATGAGATTTAGCCCCCTTTTGTAGGGCCCTCGTCGTCTTGGGTCCGGGGGAGGGCTGCCTCCCATCAATGTAGAAGCTCTGGAAGAAGCCGCCGCTGGGGTCCAACGCCCTGAGGACTTGCTGGGGAAACGGTGCCAGGGCGCCACAAGCCCAAACAGCAAAACCGCACGACACCCCTCAATCCCAAAGCCGCCAAAGGCCTCTCAGCCGGAGCCTCAAAATTTGGAAAAGCCTCAAGCTACCGAGCCTTGGCTGGTAGAAGCCAATGATGTCGCGGATATGCTTCGTCAAAAACTCCTAATCTTTCTGGGCTTCGGGCTTAGGGAGGTTGGCAATGTGAAGTTCGGGGTTTTGGGCGTTAGGCTTCAGGGCGGTCACATCCTGCAATCACTTCCCGAGCGCATGGCACGTTAACAGATCCTTTCTGAGAGCTTTGAGGCGACTTTGCCACCCTAAACCCCAAACCCTAAACCCTAACTCCTTGCTGAAGAAGTTGTCCGGGTTGTTCCGAGGCTTCTTCTTTGCTGGCTCCGCCATTGCCACGGGCTGTTTAAGCCACTAAATCAATTCGTTTAGGCCTTGCTAAACCCCAACCAAGACTTGATGGAAGCGCTTTGTGGGCAAGCACAGATCATGAAGAAGTCTAACAGGTAGGCGGGTCTTCCACCTTCATGAGAAAACGTCTGGCTTCTGCTGCTCACATCTCAGCCAACGCTGCAGACCAGGTCGCGTGCCTATGACGAACAACCCCCCCAGCGGAGGAGCTTAGGAGCTCTCCAAGCCCTCGAAGGGACAAGAACTCCCTGTTTGTTTTCGGGGGGTCCAATATATACCCTTAATTCAGGAATGGATCTTAACTTTGCGGTATTGGGCTCTGCGGATCCCCAAAAGCCCTCAAGCCCCAAAACTTGGGATGCTCCCCCGTGCACTAGCAATCCTTAAAAAAAGGGCTTCTAGTAATTACCCCCAACTATTTTAAGGGCTGTTAGGAGAAAGGGAGGGGGGGGGAAACATGCCAACCCCAAACACCCTCTAAGTGACCCCCTGCCAGGGGCCTGCACAGCGCCCCGGGATCTTTCAGCTGCTTCCAGCGCGACTTGCTCTGCTCGGCCTTCTTCCGCCTTTCCCTCTCCTGTGCAGGAGGTGCAGGAGGCTCCGTTGGCCTTGACACGCCCTCTGTTAAAGAAGATTTGTCCCAAAAAATAGATATATCTGTGCTTTCTCTATTCAGATACTCAGCTCCAAGTTCAGGGCTTTAAGGGTTTTGAGGGCTTTATGGGCGCTTTCAAGGTTCTAAGCGTGCTAAGGGTGCTAAGGGTGCTAAGGGTGCCAAGGGTGCTAAGGGTGCTAAGGGCTTTAAGGGCTTTAAGGGCTGTAAGGGCTTTAAGGGCTTTAAGGGCTTTAAAATCTCAAACCGGCGGAGCCGTGCCTCCCGCTGGAACTCGTCATCCGCCAGCTTCGTGGCGGCAAGTGGATTTGATCGGATGGCCTGCACATGACAGAATTTAGGGTTTGGGATCATGGCACGTCGATGTCAGATTTCAGTGCGTGGGTGCGTTAGTGTAGGAGTGAGTGAGTGAGTGAGCGAGTGAGTGAGAACGGGTCCCTCTCGCCTTCTCGGCCCCTCCGCGTACGTCATCGGGGCCCCGGTACAAAATTCAACACTCCGGGCCCCTCAATCCGAGCAGGGTACTGCAGAGAAGTGTGTTCGGCTTCGGTTGGCATGGTCGCTGGCAGTCTAACAAACACGCATGCACGCACGGCACCGGCAGCAGGACTGAGGGCAAATGAAATTTGGGTTGGTGCTCTTGCGGCTGCGCAAACTCAATCAGTGTCCCCTTGGCACGGTGGGGAAATATGCCTGAAGCTGAAGGCATCACCCCTCGACCGGAAAGGGGTGCACTTTGTGGTGCAGAGAGCCTTGCTCACCAACGCTTGGTCTACAATCCCTGGTCGCCACTGGTCGTTTCTTGCTTCACAGCTTGGCGGTGCTTAGAACATGCGCGCGCCCACACACACACACACACACACACACACACCTAGGCTCAACTGAGGGTTCTTGGCCACCCCTCTCATGAAGCGAACCCGGCCAAGCTTGTCTTTCTGGACACCTGCCTCGACCTTCCGCATCATCTTCTCCACCGGCGCCAGAACAAGGGCCTCAACCCCACGCAGCTCCAGAGTCTGAGAGAGCTTTTCAGGGTTTGACAATGCATAAACACCACAGACGACTAAGGATAGTAGCAAGTAACAAGAACAAAAATAAAACAAAATAGTGCAGCGTTTCAAAGTTTAAAGGCGTGTGTGACGGGCAAGCTGGAGCTCCACTGCTCCACAAGCTGGAACTCCCGAAATGGTGTGGGAATACCTGAATACCCCCACAACCCCCACCCCCGCACCCGCTAGACCAGGACGTTTGGCGACGAGGGTGAGTATTCAGGATTGGCTTGTCTTCCAACAAGCCCGAGAGCTCCGAAACTCGCGGAGGTTGTCGACTTCCGAACCCACTGCCATGTGCGAGTCGGCTGTTCAAGGCAAAAGAGAGGGCTCATTGGCCTCCTGCATCAAGACGCGATTCGGAGTGGGTTTCCGTTCACTCCGAAGTCCCGAATCCTGCACCCTTAAGACCTGAGTCGTCCCCAATCCAACACGACCAAAACCCTAAGCCCTCACATCTCCAGCTCGGGCCGCGACGTTTGCTGTACTAGTAAACATGATGGAGGCAATGCACAAGATGACGCAAATAAAGACCTTTGCGGGCGGGGTTTCATGAATACTTGAGTGCGTCCCTTGCCCATTTTGCTGCAGCCTCAGAACCATCTCGAAAGGAACACGGAAGTTCTGAGTTGAGTAAGATTGCGACAGTTGTCACAATGCTGAAGGCAGCCTGGCAACTTAGATACGCACAGGGAACACAGCCGATGGACAGTGCTTGAGACACACAGCAGGTTGGCACGAGCTCCCGCGCCTCTGCTTGCACAAACGGCCGCAAATCGTAATAGAAGACGAAAAACCAAGATTGGGTATACCTGCAGACCATCGGCCAGCAAAAACTGAAGACTGCGAGGCCTTCGCGGTTGTCTGAGAGGAGCACGCGCTGGCAGGCATCAGTCTCGGAACGACCCGTTCGACCTCCAGGCTTGCCATCCTACACCCTAAACCCTAAACCCTGAACCCTAAACCCTAAACCCTAAACCGGGGTTCAAAAGGGCAATGATCCCAAACTCAGTGGGCTTTCGCCTGGTGTCGAGGAACGGTGGCGCAAACCGGCTGGCCTCCTGGTAGCGCAAGTCCGACGGACACGGCACTGGATGGTCTGCAGTGCTCAGCACCTGAAAAGCACCAGCCACTATCATAGTCATCATCTTTATAATTAAGACTCAGAATGTTAATAATTATTATTATTAGCAAAGGATACGTAATGATCAAATGATAACAACCTATATTGACACACTTTTGGAGCCTGATGCACTGCGTGATACTTAGGAGCTGACTGAAACACCGATGATGAGATTCCCCTTGATGTCGCACTCGTTGGTCCAGTTCGCGGACAATCTCTGTACGACCTCGGAACGTCGCGAAGTTGTAGTACTTGCAAAGCCCAACGCATAGGATCAGGCTCCCTTGACCCTCAATTACATGTGCACGGGATCACATGTGGTCACTGCATCGCTGTCATTCTCAAAAATCTGCGTAGCTCTGGCCCCGAACATCATGGGCTTCTCTAGCGTCTCCGGGCAGGCTTGGCTTCACGCCTCGCGTGGCATGCTGCCGTAGGTGTAGAGCGCATTCCTCAGGGCTTTGCACAGAGGCATTGATCGGGCTGACGGTTTTAAGTTTTGCCTGTGAGTCCGGTCTTTAGGGTCTGCTTGCTTTGTGGCTTTCAGGGGCTCAGGAGAGAGGGCCCCGGCACAAAGCAAAGACTTCAGCCAAGCTTCTGCGTTGCCGCCGCCTCGTCGAATGCCAGCACCTACGGAATCCCAAGCTCCCGAGTTCTCTTGCGACAACTTCGAAGGCCACAGCCTGCCTCCGCTGGAGTCAGTGAAACACTCAAGGCTCTGTCTCGAAGCTGCGCTGGGTCTTGGCCCATGCCGGCGATGCCCACCTGAGAACAACGAGCGAACAAAGGACCACCTCTCTCACCTCCCGAACAGGAGGAGCAGAGTCGGCTGAAGTAAATCCCGAGCACCCGGCCCAGAAGGCATGGCTCAAGAAGAAGCGGGAACAACTGGATATCTGCGTAGGGCACTCGCTCTTGCGACCTGCGGCAATCCCAGGCTCAACCGAAACCTTGCGCTGTGAGGCAGAGCTGACTGCCTGCTCTATAAGTTGCAGAATCCAGAACCTTTGATGTAACCCGTGGCTTCCAGTGGCAAACCCTTTGTCGATGCTTCTTTGGGACTAGGGCCGAGGGTTTAAGCATGGACGGGCAAATGATCTCCAGCTCAACACGGAACACGATCCTCCTCATCATCTTGGCCAGGGTTGGTACCAACAGGCAAGGATCGCTGGCCTGTGAACCAGTTGTGGTAGTAGAGCGTCCCCAGGACGGCCTCATTGAGCCAAGCTGATCGAGAGGCCAAGGAGGAGGCAACTAGAATCCCTATTAAGGACTGTTCGTATAAGGGGAAACATCCCAAGGTCTGCACCCCAAAACCCCAAACCAAAGATACCTTGCCCCTGGAGCCGCCACCTTGTCATATGCGGATCGCTGCGCTGGATCCGCCTCTGCCCGCTGGTACGCCTGCTTTGCAACCCTTAACCCTAAACTCTAAACCCTAAACCCGAAGTCCTAAACCCTAAACTCCCCAAGAAACACAAGGGACATGTGTCTCACGAAGCGCTGGTTGCTGTCTGCTGGAATCAGCCGCCCAGCTATGAACCCCATCAGCCCTGCAGTCAACAGACCCTCCATCGTCAACCACATAAGACTCCCTCAAACATTGGCAAATCTTGGGGTGGCTGGTGAATGTATGGACGGCATGCAGCGTTCATGGTGATCAGCACTGAGTCACTGAACCCACCCCTCAGGGCGTCCTCCAAGACCTCCTCCGCCCCATAGGTGGAAGACGTGGGCAGGCGCTCAGTCATGTCCACCCTGCCAGCTCTGCTCTTTTTGGACTTCAGCCAGCGGAGGCTCTTAGGGCTCCCAAGATTCTAGCGCCTCACAAGGATTTTCTGCGTTGGGCTTCGGACTCGGGATTTAGAAACTTGCTTAGAACTACGCTTCTTTTTTGTGAGCTCATCACCAAGTCACGACCTGGAAGGGCCTAAAAACGTGTCGCACACTCTCCCCGCTTAAGAACCCTAAGCCCCAATCAAAAAGCAAGTCCAAACCCTAAAACCTATGCCTAGCACCCTACTTTAAAGGTCCCAAAGCCCTGACCCCAATGCCCCCTTTGCCCGGCAAGCCCGGCAAGTGCGCCTGAGCAGGGGCAGGACGATCAGGAGCGTCAGCACCTGCGGAGGAACGAGATGGAGGAGCCCAGGCCTTCTTAGTGGTGGCAGGGGGTTTTTGGCTTAGCGTTTTTTTCTCTACGTGGCTTACGTAGGGTCTAAGGCATCAGGGCTTTTGGGGCTTAGGGGTCTTTGGGGGCGCGTAGCAGTGTAGCACCTGCAGAGCTTAGGCCAGACTTTCGTGCAGCCTCTGCCGTCCTCGACGCATCTGAAGCCTATGTGCATCCTTCAGATGCACGGAGGAAAATCGCCCACTGAGGTGCAATCCAGCGATTTGGCACGGTGCTGTCCCACACCAGGCTTTAGGGTTTAGTGTTTAGGGTTTAGGGTTTAGGCCTACAGGATCAATTAAGGAACAGCACTGGGACACAAGCATGTGGCAGCATGTGCCAGAAATGTCCATATGCCACAGGACCAACTGACATGTGGATGTCTTTAGTATCTTAAAGTCTGGGGGCAGAAACCACCCGAAGGCTCGCAATCTGAACTTCTTTACGAGCTGGGGAAAAGCTAGCTGATGGCCTTGACAGAGTATGTTTAGAAACCCCAAACCCTAAACCCTAAACCCTAAACCCGAAACCCTAAACCCTAAACCCTAAAGAGTCGAACGGCTGCCCTCGGCTGCGTGAGGCTATTGGAGATGCTCCAACTGCCGGAGACTATGTGAACTGTGACACGGTGCTCCTGGGGAGCACTTTCATACGTTCCGGAAGCGGCTGGCCTATCCGGGAAGCAGCTCTCCCTCCCTCTATCAGGAAGCAGCTCTCCCTCTCTCTGGGCTGTCAATGTCGACCTAGAACAGTGAAATTGACACAAGGACAATAGGCCGCAAGAGTAACAATGCGAACAAACAATCAATACTCACTATAGTCATAGTATCAGGAACAAGAAAAAGAACAAGAGCAAGAGCAAGAACAAGAGCAAGAGCAAGAACAAGAACAACAGGGATACAGAAGGCCCTCAGGGATGAAGAACCCTCGGAGCTGCAGGTTCCGATCCGGCCCAGGTCTTCAAAGGGTTTGGTTTAGGGTTTCGGGTTTAGGGTTCAGGGCTTAGGGCTTGAAGGCTTAAGGGACTGTGGGCCTTCCAAGGTTAGGGGTTAGGTTGGCTCTTGGTTGGAGCCTGGTTACCGGTGGTTTCGGGGGGGTTTTGGAGAAGCCGCGTGCTCAGAAGTGTAGGACTTCTGAGGGCTCCGCGGGGTTTGGATGGGTTTTGAAGAGTTTTGTTCCCTGTAGGCTACGAAAGCCATCGGACCATGACTTAGAGTATACGGTACGCTTCTTGTTGGCGCAGCCAAGACAGACTTGCCATGACAGGCGCCTCCAGGGGCCTTAGCTCAACAGGGAGCAATGCCTGGAGCAAATTTTTGTTTTAAAATGATTGAAAAGCCGCCCTGCGAGCTCGCAGGGTGATGAAGCATCTGATGCTGCCACATTCAGCAGCTGTCAGACAGACTCGACTGCCTGATGAAACTATCGATTGGGGTTGCTGTGCGGTTCGGCCTTACATGTAGTCCCAATTTTGCGATAGCTATCATCTGAGCAGGCGAGCATGCAGAATTGGATTTTTTTCTTCTGTCGGTCCATGAGGACACTCCTATCTATGCATTGGTCACAGACAATGCCCTACCTAACGCACGCTCCCCAGGCCGCCATGAGCTCAGCAGCATGCCAAGCAGTTTGACCGCCCCCACCTCAGGCGCTCCGCATCTAAATCAAAGAGGTTTGGGCTCTTTTCCTGGCCCTGAAACAAGCTTTGGAAAGTTCAGAGAGTGTCAGGCTGTGTTGGGCCAGGCTCCGGACTTGTAAGTGAGCGTTGTCAGCTCGGCCGTCACCTGGCAAGGCAATGGGGTTGCGAGGCAGGTCTGACAGGTCACACAGGCCGGCTGCGCGATGAGAAAGACGATGGCGCCGGGAAGCGGGTTGGTAGGAGAGATGGCCTCGGTACTTCAGTACTCTCAGCCCATGAGCAGGTGCTGCATGATGTTGCCAGGTACCAGCATCCCTGAGGGCTCCACGAAACGGGACAAATACCAAAGGCACGTCAACGTCCCAAGCGGAATGAGCCTGAGAGAGGGGACACAGCTCGAAAAAAACAAATGCGAGACCCATGCCAGGCCCCGAGTTCATGAGGCGCAGGCGCCAGGGATGCTGCCAACAGAGATACCTCCAATGCTGCAATTTGTAGCGAACGGGGGTCCATGCTTTTGCCAGACTCGCAGTCGACGTTCAGCCATGCCGCCAGTGCATCGCAGACTGCCATCTGCCGCTTTCTCTGAAGCAGGTTGGTGACCTTGTTGCCAAGATCTGCCAAGCTCCGAGGAAAAAGTTGCAAGAGAGAGAGAGAGAGCGCGAATCTTTTGTTGCTTTCTCTGAGGCGTGAGCCCAAATCACAAAGGCTACAACCAGCGGGCTCGCCTTGCTTTGCACAGGGCATGCCTTCTTGGAGCTTCGGCTTCAGGGAGCTGGGATAGCGGACAGGGACTTGGGGGGGGAAGCGCATTTAAACCACATACTGCCCGGGCAGTCTGAAGTCTGCAAGTTTAGACAGAGGTCCTCAGATCCGCACACAGAGCCACATGGAGAGTCCCTCAACAATCATTGAAGAGATGTACCACCTGGCAGCATGCAACGGTTCGCAACCAGCATCCACACCAAAAGGATGCGGCGGCACGCCAATGCCAGACATGCTGCGCAAGACAAGGCTCATTTGTGCAGTGTCACCAAGATGCCGGCACATCTCCACCCTGGATACTGTCTGCGACGACATCCATATACGCCTTCGGGGGAGCTCAACAGGCTCACGGCTGGCAGCTCATGGGTGTATTCTGGGGGCCCTGCCCAGAGAACAGGCAGCTGCGAGCCCAGGACCCACCGATAAGGTCTGCCATCGACACATGGTCTTGCAGTGCTCTCTGCGTCTGTCGTCCTCCTCTCTCTCTCTAGAGCCAGGCCCACAGGTCTACGAAGTTGTTTTTTGCCCCTCTTCTTCTGGTAGTTTCGGGTGCCCACCCTTCCGATCTGCAGGACCCCGGAATTGGGGGCCAAGCCGAAGAGACGCCCTGTGCCGACTCTCGGCTGGTCCAACACCCGACAGCTTTTCTTTTGAAAACACAATAAAAAAAAAAGTCTCTTGGGGGGCAGCGGCAGAAAGCATTTGGGGTCGTTTTGTAGATGGACGGGAGCGAAATTCGCGCGGCTTGCGCGCGTTCAAGTGTCAGCTGTTGTTATTCAGACCGCCAGTGCTTCGACGTGCATGCCGTTAGAACCGTGGTTCGTGATTCTTGAGGGAAGACAGCGTCGGGACACAGGCAGCCCAGCATTTCAGCCTGTCTTGTCGACCCTTGCGAGCCTCGGAGCCCGGTTTGGACCCTTCTTTCTGGGACCCCTAAGGTGCCAGGACCTCTTCCCTTGCTGCACGTGAACTGGCACACGAAACGTTTGCTAAGCCCCTCTAAACCTCAATTTCAGGAGCTTCACAACCATGCAAGACGCTGCCGCAAGGTGTCACGGCTGAAGCGCGCGCGCTTACGTGGGCTCTGACTCAACCCGCCAGGGGTACAAACCGAAGTGACCAAGAGAGCGCCAGAAGTAGCCAGCCAGCCTGCAAGACAAGGGCAAGGTCGCATGGCTCGAATACATGCACGGGATCAAGACTGAAAACTCTCACACCCTCACTCTGCCCTCCCTCCACTGGGCGCACTCAGCTTGCACGAAGCTGTCGAAGTCTGCCAAAGTCCCGAACCACGTCATCTGAAAGAGACGAGCTGTCAACCACCAGCTGGACATGCTTGGACTTGGACTGCGTTTCTAGCATTTTCTAAAAAGGAGATCATGGCGTGCTCTACTTGTACACACATACCTCATACCTTCATGCCTGCAACTTGCTGGATTAAAAGTGGCATAGGACAGTCTTGGTCTGGGCCACCCACAATGCATGCTTGGATGACTTCTCTGTCCTAGCAGAATGCACAAGCGCAATGCTCTACTAGCCATCGGCAAGTCTACGAAGCCCCCAGAATCAGCAACCATCTCGGCGCCGGACGCAAGCAATCCTTTCCCCTGTCTCAGGCAACCTGTGCGAAACCTCAGGCCACAACTTCAAGAAAAACGGCCTTCGGAAATTCTGAAGGAAGCCAGGTCGACGCAATCTTTAAGCCGTAAACCATAGACAACTTGCAAGGCTGAGCCCGAGGCACTGCAACAGTAGCATTGGGCATTGGCTGCCTGGAACCTGGATTAGGGGCGATAAGCCGCCGCATGCCACCGGAATGTTGTGTCACTACAGCCGATCTCATCATTGCGAATTCTGAAGCCTCAGCCTTCCGCGCAAACTTAGAGGTGAGCGACTCTAAATCAGTGTCATGGCGTTGGCAGATCATGGCAAACACGGGAACTTGGGATGTTCCCCCTTGTACCAACAGTCCTTAATAGGGCTTAGAGTGCCCCCTATTAGAATCCCGATTAAGGAGCTTTGAGTAGAAGGGGGAGCAGCCCAAACGGGAGCTCCGGAGGTGCTTCTGCGGGCCCAGCTCGGCTAAGTGTTGCCGAAGGATCGTCATGTCTCTGTGGAAAGACCTGCACGGGAACCGATGGCAGCAACCCTCTGGCTCTCTGAACTCTGAACCCCCTGAAGTTTAGGGTTTAGGGTTTAGGGTTTGGGGTTTAGGGTTTAGGGTTTACGGCTTAGGGTGCCGGAACTGGCCTCAGGAAATGCACGCCGAGGATGCAGATGACGGACTGCAGGGCAGGCCAGACGGTGATGCTCATCGTGGCATTCCTCGGTGTTGGGCAAACGGTAAGACCGACATCATTTCTCTCTCACTCTCTCTCTCACACACACACCAACAAAATCAGAGAGCAAGTGCAAGAGCCAGGCCTGGGGAACATGCAGATGAGCGCCCAGTTGATGACGGTGGTCCTTAGCATGGTAAGGTTTGGAGGGCTTTGCTTCCAACCCTCGAGCTGAGGCAGCGGCACCATGAGCCCAAAGTACACCTGGCACGATGGGCGCGTGACGCATGAAGCACGGCAGGGAGTCGCCCTCAGATGTTCCCAGAGCAAGACGCGGGGACGACCGGCGCGAAGATCACCGGGCGGATCTCCACGCGGTTCTTAAGGTCGTTCCTGCGGCAGCCGATTCGGAGCAGCTGCGCTCTCTGACATGGACTTCGGGCTCAGGAGCTCCTGTGAGCCCATGCAAACGCAGCCATCTCAAACACGCACCACAACCGCGTAGCCTGTGGCCGCACCAGGCGTCGGCAAAACACACGCGAACACCCCTGTGAGAGAGTCTCAGGAGTGCACGTAGCTGGGGTCCCACAACACAAGCATGGTCTTGGAGTAGTACAGGAACGCGCCAATGCTCTCCACCCCTTCCTGAGTCGGAGATGGAGAATGCACGCATTCCATGCATGCAAAGCAACCTTGCCATCCGGAGTCCCTAAACCCTAAACCCTAAACCCTGAACCCCCAACCCTAAACCCTAAACACCCAACCCCCCCAACCCTAAACCCTAAACACCCAACCCTAAACCCTAAACCCCCTAAACCCGAAACCCGAAACCCGAAACCGGCCCTGAGGCTCCGCACCTTCTTGAGAACGGGGTCCTTTTGGTGGATGCAAACCTGGAATCCCAAGCACGAGGCTGCCCCAGGCTGCTAGAATATTTAAACAATATATATCTCTACCTGTAATTTATACTTTTTTCTCAAACATGCACTTAGATAATAGTGTAAGACCAGAATAATTAACGGACAATACTAATGACAATAACACGCAACTGACTGACAACAAACAAAAAAAACAACAACACTTTATAGCCCCCCCCCCCCCGGGATGCCTTATCCAAGAAGACCTTCTGCTTCGGTCGCCAGAGGAAGAGGACCTGCCCCGTGGGTTGAAAGTAGAATTCCAGGAATGGTGGGCCGTCTGATGGGGCTTTCCGAAGTTAGGCGGGGTGCCATATTGGGGTTCTTGGTATAAGGGAATCCTATTATTTGGAAGATCTAATATTAAGGGCCCCTTATTTCCGCAAACCCAAAACCCTGAGCCCCAAACCCTAAACCCCAAACCCTAAACTCTAAACTCCTTTTTGGGCGCGGGAGAGCTGCAGGTCAACAAGTGGGGGGACGGCACCGACAGAAAGGTCGTGAGGCCAAAGATGGAAGTCCAAGCCTTGGTGGCCGATATGGGTTTAGGGTTTAGGGTTTAGGGTTTAGGGTTTAGGGTTTAGGGTTTAGGGTTCAGGGTTAGGGTTTAGGGCTTAGGGCTTAGGGCTTGGGGCTTGGGGTTTAGGGTTTAGGGTTTAGAGTTTAGGGTTTAGGGTTTAGGGTTTCGGGTTCAGGGTTCAGGGTTTCGGGGTTTCGGGCGGAGAAGGTTCAGGGCTTCGGCTCTGACGGGCCTTGACAAACCCGTGGCCCTGCTTGGATCCCGGCCGCATAGTAATAGGTTCCACCCACCACAGCGGACCTGGCGAGACAAACCTTGCGCCTACATGCGTAGTTCTCCAAACTAGGGTCCCTTTTTTGGGATCCCTTTTTAAGGGTGCCGCCTTGTGATTGGCTACCCAGAAAGGAACCCTAATCTAGGAACATACTGTACCCACACTGCAACGAAAGCGTAGCACTGCCCAGTCTACCACACATGTCCATCAACTATCCGCCTGATATTGTCAACGATTTATGGTGAGTTCTCTACATTAGGGTCTCTTTTTTGGGTCGCCAAATAAGAGGGGCCGCCTTATAATCAGGACCCAAAAGGGGACCACATGTTTGACAAGCCACCACCAAAAACCATACATGCATCAAGGCCCCTGCTCCAGCTCTACAAAGTAGGGCAGCAGGTGGAAAGCCCTCAAGGCCTCAATAGGGAAAAAGGTGACGGGAAAATGAGCGGTTTGGACAAGATTCCGCTGTTCCACGGCAACTTGCCCAGGCTCCCCGCCATCCCGACACCTCCGCTGAGGATGCTCAAGAAGACGGCTGGCGCCTAGGCTAAGGGAGCACTCGGCGTCCGTGCCAGGTGAGGGCATGCTGGGAGGCCGACTTGGTTGTAGTACAGCAGCAGCACCATGACCTTGCAGGGCCATGGCACCTGGTCCCTTTCAACAGCAGATCCGACCTGCCGAAGCCCGCACCTTCAAAAAGGTGTTGGCCCTCCAGCTATGGGACCAGAACTGGTCGATCTCCCCTGAGCTGCGCTGTGAAAGAAGGGGACGCTCGGCGAAGCGCACACGAACCAAGGCTTCGAGCTCCACTTCTGGGCCAAGGGTCGGGTCTGGAAGCTCAGCATGTAGTCCTCAGGGCACGCATCCGCACCTGCTTACTTTTGAGACATCCCCCAAGAGGGTCTGAGCCAGCGGCATCGAAGGACTCTGTGCGTCTGACGACGTTCTCTGCAGACCTCATAGCACACTTGCGATGCATGTTCCTGCTGCCGTGCCTTCATTGGACTCATGATGACTCGTGGGAAACTCCTTACTTAGCACCCCCTAGCCCGCTCGGCACTGCAATCCTTGTGGTGTCATGGACATCTGGGGGGTGTCCATCCTTTCCCTTCTGTCCGCCGAGCACATCTTACAAAGTATTGCCACAACCTTGAGGAACCTCTGCAATCATGCAAGATGGCGAGAATCTGAAGCTGCCCCTCAAAGCAAACTTAAGTGCCTGACGCCATGGCTTGACCGATCAGAGACCTCCCGAAGCCATTTCGCGTAGACCTGGGCTCATAGACTTGTGGGGCAGATTTAGGGACATGGGAACCCTAAACCCTTAACCCTAAACCCTGAACCCTAAAACCGTGGCTGGGGCACGGGGAGGCTTCCGAGAGCCTTGAAACCTCCTTAAGCAGCTTGGCCCAACATGACCCGAGTTTTGGAGTTTTGGACTCCCAAGCTCCCAAGCCCCTGTAAGGTCCAGCATGACAAGATGCTAAGGCCCTGAAAGCGCTGAAAGCACTGAAAGCCCTGAAAGCACTGAAAGCCCTGAAAGCCCTAAAGGCCCTGAAAGCCCCAAGCTATCCCGGGGTTCCAGCCTTCGGTCTCGCAAGACGGCCCCGAGGTTGACCCTGAGAGCGCGGGTGGGGTTTAGGGCTTGGGGTTTAGGGTGTAGTGCTTAGGGTTTGGAGTTGTGCTTTCATTTTTTCCTGAATAGGTTCTCTTACAAGGCAAGAAGGGAAATTAGAATATCCCAAAGCACAACCCAGACAGGTTGTGGGTGTCAAGGAAGGTGTACCTGGAGTCATGAGGCATCATTCTCATGCTGCAGCAGCTACCCACAAAACGCAAGAAAACAGCTAATGTCGCACGATATGGTTTGAGGGGGCGGCGACTTCGGGGTGATCTAAAACCTCTAAACCCCAAAGCCCCGAAATGACCTGAACTCCTAAACCCCTAAAGACCCCTCAAAACCCCCAAACCCCTAAACCCTTAAACACCCCTCGCACCCCCAAAACTCCTAAACACCCCTTAAACCCGCTAAACCCCTAAAACGCTCAAACCTAAAGCCTCCCATGAAACCCCTCAAACCCCTAAAGGCCCTCAACTCCTGGGCCCCCAAGCAGGGGCTTGTAGGCCCTGGTGGCCCGAAGGAGCTGCGGGGAGTTCAAGCCTCAGGGTGTTCGCGCTTTTGGAGGGGGGGCGGGAGTTTGTTGGGGGGTTTGGGGGGGAGTTGAAGAGAGTTCGGGGTGAGTTTGGGGGGCGTTTGGCGGGAGTCTGGGGCGAGTTTGGGGGGAGAGTGGGGGTTGGGGGTTTGGGGTTTAGAGGGATTGGAAGGATTTCAGGGTTTAGCGGTTTTAAGGGTTCAGGGTTTAGGGGTTGCCACCGCCGCAAGGATGTTCGGGGTTAAGGGTTTAGGGCTCGGATTTTGGGGTTTTGGGGGGTTAGGGTTCCGGAAGGACAATTGCCAGGCTTTGAGGACTGGGTGTTATTGAGTTTCGCAAAACAGAACACCCTGGACCCGGACCCCAAACTCTAAACGGCCCTAATTGCACTGAAAACTTAGAAACCTTATCTAGAAACCTTAAGCCACCCACAACACCTCCCAAGCCTACTGCCTCTAAGCACTCCTAAGCCAAACGAGAGTTTTCCGGTCTGGTCGCGAAGGCCTACGACCCCAAAAGCAGCGTTGCTTGCGTTGCTCGGACTCCCTAGACCCTGAAACCCCAAGCATCAAGAAAAGCCCAGAGTGCCCCTCAAGGGCCTGAGCAAGCTTCAGCGCCAGGGTTGTTGACCCCCAACCCTAAACCCTAAACCCTAAACCCTCAACCCTGGGGACCCCCACGGAAGGAAACCATCGAAGCTAGGGTTCGCCTCTGGCTGATGGACGTCAGTGTGGGCCTCAATCACTCGCAAAGGCCACGATGTGGTTGGCCCCTGGGTTTAGGGTTTTGCTACCAGGGTTTAGGATTTAGGGGAGGGGGATCGGGATTGTGACCGGGTTTCTAAAGCCAAGCTTCAAAGAGTTGTCTCTCAAAGTGTAGACGGCCCTCATGGTCCCTTTGCCGGGGGAAGGGACCGGGTTATGACAGGGAGCGGACATCAGAAAAGGGACCATCATTCCAAGCGCTGGCGATAAAGCGCTGGCGATATACAGACAAAGCCAGCTCCCGAAGCACCTAGAATAAACCCTTCCCTCATCCAGCCAAGTCCGGGCAGCTCCAACGCCTGGAATGCACAACACGGGACCCTGTGGGCCGGGTGTTTCGTGTCTCTGTGTGCCCCACATGCGCTGCGTTGTCCGCGAAGTCGAGCCCAGCATACTGGACCTCAGGTCGAGGGTCGCACATCCTAACTCCTATGGTTGGGTCTTAGGGGTTTTAGGGGACCTTATAGCACGCGTTTACTTTTTTCTGTGAGAGAGCAAGGCTGCTTTGGACAGAGCCTTCCAGTGATGCCCCCACATTGGATCAACTCTAGCGGCATTTCAGGCAGAGAGGCAGCTCCGGCTCCGTTTCCCCATCGCAGTCCCCCTTCATGTGCTCGAGCAGCGCCATCGCGTAGGCCCGCAGCTCCTCGGCCTTCCCCCAGTCGGCGACCACCCCAAGCTCCCCGAGGCAGAAGATCTCCGCAAGGTGCATGCAAGCCAGCGGGTGGCCCTTGCGGCACGCTCGCCGCATCCAGGCGATGGCCCCTAAGTCCCCGCGCTCCCGGAGGTATTGGGCAAACTGCAACATGGCATCCGCGTCATCCAGCTTGTTGGCTGCGGTGAAGAGCTTGCTATACTGCTCATCGAAGTCCGGAGGGAGAGCTGGGCCCCCATCGAAGTCACCCAGTCGAAATCGTCCCACGAGCTCATCCCTCAAGGAATGCTCTCCAGGCGTAATGCCAGGAAGGTGCCAGGTCACGTAGAGCAAGCGCCGGCGTGTGCCCCCGGCCCCCCTGGATGCCTGAGCCCCGCCACAGTGCAGGAGCTGGGAGTTCATGATGTAGGCATCGCCGCAGCGGCAAAGGGCGGGCACTCCACCCAGCCGCTCTAACATCTCCTCATGCTCGAGCCCCATCTTCTGCATGGCATCCAAGGCGCTGTGATGCTCGTAGTTGTGGGTTTCGGGGCACAAGTAGGTGGGGCCCATCTCCGGAGTCACGTCCTGCAGGGCCACGAAGACAGTGAACTTCACGCGCTCCAGCGAGGTATCCTGAGGAGGCAGTTGTCTGAGCCTTCAGATCTTAAATTTGACATTGAGGTTTGCAACATGCTAGAACTTCCAGAATTGTGCCTTTTTGTTCATGTTCGTCTTGGTGGGAGGGGGGTGCGCAAAACTCATGGCGTGACACGGTTACGTAACGGGGAATGTTGAGGTGGGGTGGTAGTAGGGGGGATTGCTCAGTCCTTAAGACCTCAACCCTACCTTACAGTACGGTAGAAGGCACTCAGAGATTGGCCCACTGACGACCTCTTGTTTGAATGATCTTGCAACACTGGCATGGCACGGCTGATGGTGGCTGGGAGGTTCATGAGGGGCTGTGTGGCGGTGGTGCGGCGGCGGGGCGGTGGTGGTTGTGGTGGGGGGTGGTCCACTGTGCTGTTTAGTGCCAAGAATCCGAGTGGAGGGGCTGGTACTCACAATCAGGATCGGAGATCATGCAAGAAAGGTCGACAAGCCTCCCGTTCCTGGTCACAAATGGCTCCAGGACCTTTCCCAGCGAGGCAATCATGCCTTCCAGCGCATCCCTGACTTCTTCGACCAAAGGCAGGGTGAACTCGATGCGGTCCCGCCTGGTGGCATACGCAAGCCTGACGGATCTGACAGAACAGCAGAAAAACTCTGCTTGACTTTGCGGCAACCAAGGAAAATGCAGGAATCCAAGGGGGATTGCAAAGCCCGGGAAACAGCCGCAGGCCTCCGGAAGTAGGAGCGGCGCCGTGCGTAGCGGGCGTCTCCCTCATCTGACTGCTCGACGTCCATCTGGGCAGCTGCGAGGGCGTCATCGACGTACGCTGCCAGGCGCCTTCGTGAACCGACTGTAGAATGGGCCAGCAAACCGCATGCAATAGGAGAACTATTCGTCAGCTGTTTTCTGCAACTACCAACGAAAACAGGGAAAGTTGTGCAACAGCACTACTAGGGCTCAGCCCACTGAAGGCCCAGGCGCTGGCAGCAGCTGGCTGAGACCGCGTGTGAGATGAAGCAGCAGCCTTGGTTTGAGAGGTCCTTCGCCACATCCGCAGGTCGCGAGATCGCATCCTCGACATCGTACAGGTGCACCTGGGCTAAATTTGCTTGAGTGCTGCCGCCAACCGGTTGTTCTTGGGGCCATCTGAAGGTAAGCATGTACGGCTCTCGCTACCCGTCGCCGGACGTGAATGTAGTTAGCGAGATGATACTCCAATAGCCATAAAGCTATCAAGCGAGAGGCGTGCGGAGCCACCGCCATCGCCGGCTGATGCAGAACCTTCTTGGAATCAGCGGCGGACTGAATTCAAGAGCCGCAACTTACACCCCTCCTCCCTTGTCCCCTCCAACAGAATCGATTTCACAGTTGGACAGTTGTGCATGACGATGTTCATATTTTGGTTCACATGCTTCGGGGTGTTTCGGCAGGTTTCGGTAGTGGTTTGGTTGACGCGGTTGTCATCTCCACCACAGCTGAACCCAGAATCAACCACTTGAGTCATAAAACGAACCTGAACTCCAAATCGTAAAAAAGCCCCATTTAGAGCGCCACATGCGGGCCTGGACATTCACAGCTGGCGCAACTGCTGCCAGGAGTCCTGGACCTGGTTTAAGAGTTTAGGGTGAAAGGGCTTCAAGGGTCTTAGAAGGGGTTGTTAAGGGTATAAAGTTGTGAGACTCTTTCAGGAAGAAGAGCCCGTAGGCCCTAGGCCAACTCGCACGAACTGCGTGGCACCCGGCATGCCTCCACAGGTTTGCAGCTCGGGGCTGGCGTTGGGTGGGAGGCTTAAGAAGTCGTGGCCCAAACTGCGTGCGGCCACCATGGCCACGAAGAGGGCTCGGTAGGAAGCAGGAGGATATCAGCGTCAAGAAGGCACCAGATACTGGTCTTGGGATGCTTTTGTGCCGCTGCTTCGGCTTGCAAAGTGCATGAGGGGTATGGGAGACATGATCCGGCACACGTTCTAAGGAAGATGCTACCCCAGGTTTCAGATAGCTGCGGCGTCCGGAACAGCGTGTAGCACAGCTTGGCACGGTGCAGCCACATCCCACCACATCAAGCAGACCAGAAGTGAGCGCATCAGTGAATGGCCAAGAAAGCGACGAGAAGACGAGAAGTCCTGCAAGTGGAGTTTAGAAGCGCCAGGGCCCCAGCAGCGAGGAGCCGGCACGCAGCATGCGCGACACCGCGCTGGCGGCGCGCGCAAGCACGCTGCCTGCAGGCTCTTCGAGGCGGGCTCGCACTTCCGGCGTTGGGGGTTGGGGTGCGGGTCGAAAAAAAAGCAGAACGAAGAAGTTCTGTGGTGTTGAGACAGCGGCGCCGCGCCTCCGCCCGACCGGCCCTCGGAGCAGCCGTCGGGATCCTCCAGGTCGATGTTGAGCTCGGCCATGGCCATGCGCGTCATCGCGGCCCTCCGGGCGTTCTCAGACCTCGACTCTCTGGGAACTCGGGGGGGGGGGGGGGGAAAAGTGGAAAAATCCGGCGGAATTTTGCTCATTTTCTCATGGGTTGCTCCCCCTTGGGAGGGTGCAAGTGGCTGAAGGAGCTTCGGGAACTCCTGCTGGTCATGCTGCGATGGCCTCCGTGACCGCTTCTCGACTTTGGTGAGCAGTATCGCGACACGCCGCCACTTGCATGAAAACGTTCCACATGATTGTGTAACCTGGCCTGAATTAGGAGTCTTTGGTGTCTTCGGACTCCTGTCTTCCACTTCGTCCTCGTGCAAACGTGGCCGGGTCGAGAATCGCGAGCAGACATTAGTGGAACAACTTGGCTCAATTACACGCCAACGTCACCAGCACAGAAGGAAGGACTCAGCTGCCCTAGGCCACAGGAACCCTGATGCCCTAATGCGCCGCGCGCCTGGCTCCAGTTCACCCTGCTCTCCTTCGCGCTTGCCAGGCTTTCCTCAGTCTCACCACAAGTCAACCAGCTTCAACCAGCACGACCGGCAACAAGGATTCCTATGGGATTCCCTTCTTCTAGTTTCTGACGAAGGTGCAGGGGGCAGGGAAGTGCTCTTGGTCGACTCCTGGTGCACTTTGTGATCTGTCCTTGGGAGAAGGGAAGACGCTACTTTCCAGCGTCAGCTCGCAAGAGCTCCATGAGGTGTGCCATGCATTGGGCCCTCGCCCCTTGCGCATGTCTGGCGTTTTCAGGGTTCTGGTCGTTCTAGTTGTTCGTGTGCCGACCTCAGTGCGCTCAAAAGGCCCTGATTCTGCAAAGCATAGGCCGGGTACCACCATGTGGATGTAGCAGGTACGAGCTGCGGGCCACGGTGCCAGATGTTTCTTCGACCTCCTGCACAGCAGCTTGAGACATCCAGCTGTTCCCTCATGCTCTACGACCCTCCAGAAAGGCGAAACGACGTCCTCGTCCTCGTCACCTGTGCAGGAGGGGATTTAGGTCCAGAGGCGCCATGACTTACACACTTGCACAGACGTGGGCCTTCAACTACGCCCCATACGCTGCTAGTTCTGGCGCTTGGCTCGCGTGTCTTTGGATCCTGGCACCACTCAGGTACTCCAAGCTGTCGATATATGCATATATATATATATATACACATATGTGTGTATATATATATATATATATATCTATCTATCTATCAAAGGAGCCTCTGATCTCCAATGGTCATGGAGAGTCACCTCATCTTCAACGGGCCTTGAGCGAAGGGCGAAACGTCTCAGAGCAGCTACCTGGCAGCCTCTGTAAGCTTGAAAGAAAGATGGCAAGATGAGCCCGACCCGGCACGGCAAAGTCTCTCGGCGGCGCGCCCGAAGCGGAGTTCTGTGCAGGTCCGCACGTCTTCGCAAGGCATTGGCGGACAAGTTGCCTGGAAAGCTTTTCTCCTCTAGCCGCTACCACGCTTAGCCGCAGCCACGGTCAACTCGCCATTCAAACAAGGCACATGCGGAAGCGAAATCCCCCAGCCCGTTTGGATACAGGCACCCCAGATCTCCAAAGCAAAACTCACCGCTTCAAAACTCCGAGATACCTTAACCAATTTCTGGGGTCTTAAGGCTTGAAACTCCAAACTCCCCAAAGCCCTAACCCTTCAACTCCTTAAACCCTCAAACGCCCGAACACCCCCCCCCCCCCCCCCATAATCCCCTGAACACCCCTAAACCTCAGACGGAGCCTCCGCACCACGGGACTCCGGCCCGCGAGCACTTCGGGCGAGGAGAATGTCGGGTCCTCTTCAGTACACAGCTTAGGGCTTCGGATCTTTGGGTTCAAGAAGGTCGAGAGTTTGGGGGCATTTTTTGCTTCAAAAGGGTTCAGGGCTGACAGGGTTCAAACGGGCCGCAGGGCGCTCAACGCCAAAACCCTTCCCTACCAAGCTCATAGTCTGTACTCTTATCAGAAGTCTTACCATTTTACAAGCTCTTTTTTCACCCTGATATGACCGTTGTATGACCCTGATCAATATGTGTATATGTACATCGTTGAAACTAGATCTACATCTATATTGTTGCATCCTAACTCTGTCTTCATTCGTTTGCTTTTCATGTCCTGGCACAGGGCCTTCTGCGCCCTGAGTCCTCCAGGGTAACGGTTCCCCCTGAACCCTAAACCCTAAACCCTGAACCCTGAACCCTAGACCCTAAACCCTGAACCCTAAACCCTAAACCCTAAACCTTAAACCCTAAGCCCTGCGGAGGAAGCGGCCTCGATGGCTGGCATCGTGAGGGGCACAGCAGCTCGGCCTGGACGTCAGCGCGTGCCCGGGGTTTGAGGGTTACCACTTGGGGGTTTTAGGTGTTTCGGGTTTAGGGTTTAGGGTTTAGGGTTTAGGGTTTCGGGTTTAGGGTTTAGGGTTTGGGGTCTGGGGTGTGGGGTTTAGGGGTTTTAGGGGTTTTAGGGGTTAGGATTAAAGGGGTTGAGGGTTACCACTTGGGGGCTTAAGGGTTCTTAGGGCTAGGGTTACCACTTGGGGGTTTTAGGTTTTGGCTTTCAGGGTTTAGGATTCAAGGCGTTGAGGGTTACCTCTTAGGTCTTTTAGGGCTTTCAGGGTTTAGGATTAAGGTTTCTAAACTTCAGGGTTGCAAACCTTATGGGTTTAGGGTTTAGGGTTCTTAGGGCTGCAGGGTTCAGGGGTTGAGGGTTAGCACTTGGGGTGTTTAGGGCTTTCAGGGTTTAGGATTAAATCAAGGCTCCTAACATGCCCGGCTTGAGGGTTCCCACGTAAAATTTTAGGGCTTTCCGGGTTTAGGATTCAAGGTTCCCAAAATTCCAGAATTTCAGGGCTTGGGACTTTTGAAGCTTTTGGGGGTGGCTTCAGGGTCCTAGGGCTTTTGGTTCGTCTTTTTAAGGGCTTCGGGGTTTCACTGCTGCAGGGCTTTGGGGCTTCAGGGTTTTGAGGCTTTAGGGCCCGGATTTTCGGGCTTAGGGTTGAGGGACGTTTCGTTTCATGGGTCCCTCGCACCTGGTTCTTCACAGTCGTGTTAAGCATTCAGGACCCGAAACCCAAGAGACAACTGCTGCTAAGTGGCTTCGCAGCTTTGGGTTCGATTTTAAGAGTTGACTGGGTCCTAGGAACACAGGCATGATGACATCATTCGCAACCTTGGCTTGCGAGCGTTGGAGCTTATTCGGTGTTCTTGTACAGGGCAACACGGCAGTTCTTGTGTCTCACGCCCGGAGTTGAGATTGAAAGTAGCGCAAAGAGACTCGTGCGTCCGCCCCTGTTTAGGGTTGAGGCCCCCCCACAGCAATCAAGCCGAATGTCTTAAACAGCCCTTGAAGGCTTGCGTGTCAACTGCTTCTTTTCTCTATCATATGAAGATGCATCTAACAGTTTTTGGCTGAGTTCATGCCCGCCATTTTGGCTTTGGTGCAGTGGCACCACTGACGTCCCTAGCTACCCGAAACCATGATCCTCTCTCTTCGCCCACTTTGGGCCCCGCACCGCTCCAGGCTGGGTTGTGACCACAGCGCACTGGCCAGTGCATCCAGCAGCATCACCCCGCCTCAGAGGATGGGGGAGACGTGTTGAGTGTAAGGCAGTGTAAGGCTTCCGAGGAGCAGAGAGGGGTAGAGCGGGGAGTCGTGACTACGTCCACCAGACAAGAAAGGACAAGGCGGATTCCGCAGCCCACGGATCCGAGCATACCGCATGCCTGCCCTTGGGCTTTGAAGGGACAGCATGAATCGAAGTCTTTGGGGACGCTTGAAGGGAAGACTCCGTACAAATTCTGCCCCCTGCCAGCTCTCACACGGCACGCCCACGCTTACGACGCTGAAAGGAAGTTTGCGAACTTGGGCATGCGAAACAGGACGTCGCAACCACAAGGTTTCACTGCCGTGCAACCGAGAAACGACTCGTGCGCAGGGCGAGTGCTGCTCAATGTCTGCCTTGCAAAGGCAGCCGGAACTTCAAACTTGTCCGAAGCTCCTCTCCACCCTGCCTGAATGTCAGGCACTTCTTGGCCTAACATTGTAGGGCCTGTTGGGCCCCCTGAAATGCAGCTGAGCCGAAGGAAACGTACGCAGACGGCGGCGGCGATGGTGTGCGGACATGCCTAGACTCCACGTGCGGCGCCATGTTCATCCTACACACAACGGCAGACCACCCTATGCAAATATCCTACATCCGAGGACCAGAAGTGTGCACGACAACAAGCAAGCAGCAGCTGCGTGGCACCAGCAGAATGGTCCACTGGGTCATTTTGGCCTTGGCTGCAACAGTCTTTTTGAAGACCCGCAAGCCTTTTTGAATAGAGCTTCTGTCATGGCATATGCTGCTGGCTAAGGGACGGAGAGCTTCTTTCCCACCAGGCTCTCCTTGTCGAAGGACGTCTCCTGTCAGATTTCGACTTGCCTGAAGCCTGGGATTGCATCGTCCCACCCATTTGCCACCAGGGTCCACCCCTCAACCCTAAAGCCATTGCACTCCCACACCGATCCATGCCGCTCCTCCTCTACAACATCCTCCTCGAAGTCATCCTCGAGGCCCAAGTTAAATCTGCTCGTTCGTGGCTTCGGCCTCAGTGCTCCATGCGCACTTGGACGAAGCCTCGACAGCAGCTGAGCCACCCCCCAAGTTACGACTTGAGAACCTAAACATAAAAGCATACCTAAACATGCTGAAGCACCTCTCAAACAAGGCCAAGGCAGCAAAGACTAACCTGGGGCACCCGCTTCGCTTTCGTCTGGAGGAAAGCTTTGAAAAGCTTAACCTGAACATCAAGACAGAGTCCACTCTTCAAAGCATGACTCCCTAGTTTCCAAGTCAAAGAAGTCCTTGCATCCGAGAATCCTGTGGGAGGCTATAAGTAGGCTTGTAACTATCCCAGAGGTGATAACCAGCTAGAACTGGCCAGAACTACCAGTCCTCGAAACCCAAGATATCAGTACTACCCATCTCTCCCCAGGAACCTCCAAGTATCCGCAGACCCGGAACTCAGGTCCCAGCAATGCGAATCAATCGCAGAACACGGACGACCCGGCCAACTTTGGCCCCAACGCGCGCCGTCCTGCTTGAGGGAGTCGTGAGTACCGGGGGGTGTTAGCGAGTGTTGGGGAGGGTTCGGGACTAGGGAGCGCAATGAAGTGCAATGAGATGTTAGGGAGCGTAGCTTCCGGGAGCCCAAGTGGCTTTCAAAGCCTCAAGCGCGGCCAGCTTCCACAAATAGGACCCCACCCCCTTGCCCCTGTTGCCCCCTGAACCCCGTCCGGCTGCTTCTGGCTTTACTCGGATCGCCTTCGTCCGCGCTGAAAAGCGCCTCGGAAACCTGAACACGCATTGCAGCTTACCGGGCTGCTGTCTCGTGACTTCGGCTTTCCGAGCATCCCACAGCTTGGGGCGGTTTGCGTGCTTTCGGGGTTAGGGATTTGGGGTTGAGGGTTTAGGGTTTAGAGCTTAGAGTTTAGGGTTTGGGGTTTGGGATTTAGGGCTACAAAAGGCAGCGGTTTCTTGAGACTTGCGGCGTCAGGAAGAAGAAATGAATAAAGGGTCCCCACGTGTTGTCATCTCCACCCCTAGAGAGCTGCCAGAATTCTGAGGCCCCCTTTTGATTGAAGTAGCCCCTGCCATTGCCTGAAATTTGGCAATTATGAAAGGGCAGTCTTGCCAACCTCAGACAAGGCTGAACCTGGGTGAAGATTGAAATGCGCCCCTGCTTGAACGGGTTTAACTAGCACAAGAAAGGCATCGACATCCGGATCAAGCTTTCTGCAAACTAACCTTTCTCAAATGCGTCTGGCCGGCGGTGGTCAGATCCATGAAGAGAGTTGCTGTGGACACCACCTGGGATAGACATGGGGGTTTACGAACATAGGGCACCCCTTAAAAATTCCCCAAGACATAGGATTCCCTTAAAATAGGGACCCCAATAAGGTACCCCCCTAATTTCGGAAACCCCCTTCAATGACAAGGAGTCAGAGACTACCTCAGAGGCATCTTTTCCCACAAGCATCCTCGAGGCTGCCGGGCCACGTCCAAGATGAAGAAGAAGCTGCCAAAATAGTCATCCTTGCCTGCTTTGTTGCATTTAGGGTTTTTTAACGTCAAAAAACCCTAAATCCTTGCCTGCTTTTTGTTGACAGAACCGCTCTTGAAGAAGAAAGCAGCAGAGGGGCTGTGGAAGCAAGCCGGCCTAAACACGACGCGAGACATTCCAGAGAGAAAAAAACCTTGGCTGCCAAGCACGTCGTCACACAGCACCACGAAAGCGTGCGAGAGTCTATCTGGAGTCGGGGGAGAATATTGTCACAACCAGGTGCCTTCAAGACAAGCATGCAACCGAGAAGCTATGCAAAAGACGACCAGACCGTCGAAGATATCATCGACCGGCTTGTTCGTCAGCAGCAGCTTAA